ATAGTTCCCTATACACGTACGGCACCCTGTACCACACACAGACTCCATACACCAGCACATACCGCTCCCGCAAGCACTGCGCGCAACCACTCAGCAGACGTGCGTAAGAAGTAAGTGAGATGCATTCCAAATCGACGTTTCAAACGCGGCGCGACCCGATGACGTACGGCTACGATCAGTTACGATAAGCGGTAAATTTGAATTCACGTCACTTGCTAATGGCGGTAAATTAGGCTGGGGGAGGGGCGCGGAAGTAGTCACATTCCCGCCATTGACATCCTGGCCTGGGTGGGAGGGGAGGGGAACAGCGAAATGCAGTGGTAGTGTGAAATGAGGGATGCACTAGTTCACCTCCCTCCAGAACTGCGAAAGCTAGGAAGTTGAAGTTCTCCTGGCCGATGTGCGGGGTAGCGATGACCCGTTAATTCTTCAATTCTCACAAATGATTATATTCCGTCCTCAGCTCAATGGTGGCATAATGTGGAAGCCCCTTCTTTCTTCCATATTCCCCTTCTATGTGACGGTACTTCGAAGTTTGATGCAAAAACGCATGATCGCATCGACTCGCCTGGTGCATTTCAGCCTGGGTCTTTTAATCGCTATGGGAGAGCGTAAACTGAATCAACATTTGCAAACTAACACAGTAGTCTGAGATTTTTAAGAGATCTTGGCACTCCAGGTTCTTGCAAGTTCATGAAAAGCAACCGAATGACTCAGAATAGCACATCGCACATAGCCAAGCCTGCTTTGTGGTTGCAGCATCTGAATGAAGTCCGAGGGTCGAGCTGAAAGCCATAACAGTGGAAAAAGAGCAACACATTTGTTGTTTGTAAGAATTGTTGTGCGCGAAATTTCGGTGCAGCACATAAAAATGAGCTCAAATATTTGGCAGGTGAAGACATGGTTCCAGAATCGTCGTATGAAGCACAAAAAGATAGTTCGAAAGCAAGGCGACAGCAGCGCTAGTGTGGCGAATGAAAAGAATGAAGAACCCGGTATTGATTCCGATAAAGAATAATGAACTCGTTGTTTTCATTAGAGGTCTCGTTTGGAAGCCAAAAGTATCCCAAAGAGATTGTAAATGAAGTGAATTGATTGTATCAGGCAGTCCCGGATGTGTATATAGGAAGAACCGCCCGGCAAGGTTTTTTCACGGGTCTTTTTCCTTTTTTTTTGTGAGCTTTTTAGAAAAATATGGACTAGTTATCTTCGCCTTTTCTCCTTGTACCCGTGAACTTACTACGGCTGAGACGAGGGAAACAATTTTGCAGCGAACACCTTTGGAACCGGCTTGAGACGACAGTCTCAATTCCTTCCCGAAAGTTTTCTTTTTCCTGCCGTATATCATCATGATAAGCGCAGCGATACTTAGAAATTGAAACTCCCTTACTGATAAAAACAAAACAGCCAACACTGGCGGGAAAAGTAATAGAGTGCTACATACTTGGAAGCACCCTTCATATTCGCTACAAACAGTTAGGCTATTCGTTAAATGTATAACGTACAAGTGGAATAAAACAAAAAAATCGGATGAACTGAGAAAACCGCATTTTTGGTGACAACTAGTAAACGTAACGTTTCAGCCGTACGTGAGTAAACAAAAATGACCACTTGGATCGCCTCCAAAGAGATATTGCGTGAGTGTAGTAAAGACAGACGCGGCAGTCATATGCGCCAAAAAATAGAAAACTCACAAAAGCTGTCTTATTGCAGATACAAATAACATCTTGAAGCATCAGATAACACCTTACAGTAACCCTTATACATGATGAATGTATGAAACTGAACCGTACCGTGAGGATTGCTTGAGCACGGCTAGCTTTTTATGATGATGTACGGTGATCACCACTGTGAGCATTGATCTGCTGCTGATTATTCGGGTTGCTCATGAACTGTATCGAACTAAAATTGGATGATACAGACCGAATTCTCGGTACACGCTCTCGTCTCTCGATACTAAGGTCGCACAACTATTCGCTTGCATCCCCTTCAATTTGTAATGGTTTAGGCGTCGTCTTGAACTTAGCAGCTGGAAATAACTGCATTGCTTCCTTAAAAAATTCGAAGAAAATGCGATTCAACTATTGATTTTAAAATTTTCTGAACATTATAATAAGCGTCCCTTCCCATAAGTCTGATGACCAGTGTGTGGCTGCAGACATATGAAAAATATAGTTTTGTTTCATTCACAACCTGTGTAAACCATTGAACTTTTATCGCATATTTTGTTGAAATCAAACAGTTTTCTGCATATCTCCTTTTCCTTAAATAGATACAAATAGTCGTTGTACTGTACATATTATATTAAAAACTTGAACATTTTATTTTTATGCCTTCCTGCGCAAGTCAATAAACAGCACGACATTTTGCGCTAGTCTGTTAAGGGTCCGCGTTTGGGTGCATTAGTACAAGTACGATTAGTCGTGATGATCTCTTAAGCCAAAACAAAGTATTTCGATAGAACAAAGACGTTAGGTCTATGAGCTCGTTTATTTTCAATTTGCAATTTGTTCTCATACTGCACCTACAGTTACTGGCCAGGAAACAGTGCTGCTTGCTAAAACTCACTTTGCGTCATTTGTACTGCCTTGCGATTTGAGCTAAAACCTGAAAAATTAGATTGTTAGCTTCCTCAGCTCTGAAGTCAAAGTTCCAGACCAGATATGGTTGTGAGGGGCACCTATTTGTAGCCACATGAAGAGTCAAACGTGCTTTCAGAAGAACAGTATGCGAAATGTCATTGCAGTCACGATACGAAGTAAAGCCGACCGACTCGCTACATAGCTCACTGACATATAATACGTGCCACATCAGTGAATGGTGCCTGTAAGAAAGAAAATCACTGGCAGCATGCACCGGATGAGCCTGTTCGATCATGCGTTTTTGCAGCATTTCATGCTGCTGCAAGTTCGTTCTGAATCCAGCAGCTAGAATTTATGACATAATGGTCCTCAGAGCTCAGGAAGTTAACTATGCAATCACATGGTACTTGAACAGAGAAAATCCTCTTAAAATTTCAGCCTTCCAGTTTTCCTTGGTTCTCAAATTAGCAATTTTCCAGCCGAAAAATTTACGGGACAGTATGTGGGAACAACGCATACCTGGGAGATGAGTTTGAAATCTTTGAATTCTATGTGGACGAGAAGCATAATCTCGAAATTTCAGTTTTCTAGCTTTTCTGGTTCCCGAGCTAGTGATTTTCCCGCCGAAACTTTCACGTCCTCGTACGCGAAGTTCAATCGTAAGTAAAGGTTGGTACAGCTACTGAGGTGGCACTTTACCGGGGAACCCACCGACAAAATTTGGCGCCGGAGCTTGCTTATTTGCAGAGTTGAAAAACCCGGA